CTCACAGCAAACTTCAACTCTTTGGCTTAAACAATTCTCTTGCCTCAGCCTTCTAAGTAGGGGACTACAAGTACCTGCCACAACAGCCGGCTATTTTTTAGCCAGGCTGGGCTCGACCCCATCACCCTTGATGTATGCAGCTGGTGCCGTAACCACTGTGCTACAGGCGCTGAGCCATGGGTTTTTCATTTTTTTATGAGTTGGGGTCTCACTCTCGCTTAGGCAAGTCTCAAACTCCTGAACTCAAGCAATTCTCCCTCCTTGGCTTCCCACAGTGCTGGGATTATAGGCGTGAGTCATCGTGCCCGGTTGTCTTTTTTTTTTTTTTGAAGGCACTTAAAATCAGTATAACTTTACCTGCCCAAACATTATTTATTATTATAGAGAAATGGTAATATATACTATAAAAAGTAGAGTTAACATAGATGTTACCCAATAAAAAACTGACAGTGGCTTTTATATGAAAAAGGGCAAATCTGTTCCTCATAGAGTGTGGACACTCTGAACACCAAAGCTTAACTTGGTAAGATAAATTTTTCAAACTAATGCCAAGTCTATACCTGGACCTTTATGTCTGCATCAAGTGACAATTCTTTGAACAGAAATAACCAGTATCATAGTTAAGTTGCAGAGACCACATATCAATACAAAATTTTACAGGGTCATAGAAACTAAGACACAGTAATGCAACATTGGAGCAGATATGAATAATATTTTCAGTGAGATTCTACTTATTTACTTTGAATTCTCAATGATCACTGAACCCCCAAATCAGAATGAATCCAGATAATGGTCAGATAGTGGCAACCTGGACTAGTGGTCATACAACATGAATGACGGCAGTAAAACCATCAATTTAAACCAATTTAAATACAAGATAGTTTTTTCTAAATTACTGACATATTCAAAGAACAATAAGTAATACCTGGTTGGGGAAAAAAATAAACTCAATGAGCTCTATGCATCCGGAAAGTACACATTCTAAGGTATTAGATTAGACTTAAGATCTCAGTACACCAAGTTCATAAGTCACTGAGGAAGCTCTTTAAAATGTAACTAGCCAAGGGCGGCACCTGTGGCTCAGTGGGTAGGGTGCCAGATGGCGGGTTTGAGGGTAGTGGGTTTGAACTCAGCCCCAACCAAACTGCAACAACAATAATAAAAATAGCCAGGCGTTGTGGCAGGCGCCTGTATTTCCAGCTTCTCGGGAGGCTGAGGCAAGAGAATCACTAAGCCCAGGAGTTGGAGGTTGCTGTGAGCTGTGATGCCACAGCACTCTACTGAGGGCGATAAAGTGAGACTCTGTCTCAAAAAAAAAAAAATGTTAACTAGCCAGGCCCATTTCTAGGTTGGCCATGGTGATGCAACCGAAGGCACCGAGCGTCTGTCTGTGGAAACAGCACTATCGCTGTGCAACACACGTGCGAGCTGGCATGAGCCTGCGTGCACGGTGTTATTTAAAATTTTGTCATTTGAATGCCATCTGCTCTATCTCAGGATTGATTCATTTAAATTAATTAGTCTTACCCAGGATTTTGTCTCTATTATCTACCATTTGGGAAGAACTGTAAGCTTGTGAGCTGGTGTGAGCCTTGGCATACTATCATAGCACAACTCATATTTCACTGTGTCTCAAGATGCAGATGAGGACCACCTGCATCAGAATAACCACTTGGGTTGGTCATGGTGGTATACACCTACAATCCCAACACTCTAGGCGGCTGAGGCAGATGGATCCCTTGAGCTCAGGAGTTCGAGACTAGCCTTAGCAAGAGGGAGACTCTGTTTCTACTAAAAATACAAAAAACTAGGCAGGCATTTTGGTGGGTGCCTATACTCGGGAGGCTGACCTCCTGTATCTGTTATGGAGGATGGAATTTCAAAACTGCACCATGGCATCTGGGAACTCAGAATTCTTCAATGTACACAGACTCAGACTTGTGAAACAAAATGGTGATTAGGAATTGAAGGTTTCTCTATAAGAAATCAAAAGCAGCTGGGAGGCAGTCTGCTCTTCAAATCAGAGTCAAGGAAGGTAAAACGGGTGCCCCAAAACCATGAGGCCTGCTGTGAAGAGTACTTTCACGTAGCATCCCTAAAAAACCATTTTAGAAGAGTATCTAAAGCATTTACTTATATACAATAATGTAAATTAAAAGGGCAACGATTTTTGTTCAGCTGTGTCATAACCCTTATTTTCTGTCAGTTACTCTTAAAACTCCTCCTTCTCTGGCAGACATTTTCATCTTTCTTTTCCTTGCAACATCCTAGCAGCCATCAGCAAAAATGTACACAGCAATTTCTGTTTTCCTGTCTTTCAGAACACGTGTTACTCTTTCCTCTGCCCATTAATTTCGATCTTGGTGCGCAGAGCTCACTCAGGACTTTATTATCATCACAGGTCATCCTGTACTATGGACCTTGTTAAAGATTCACTAGGTTTACGCTTCAAGGACAGGGTGGCAAATCCATATTCT